CCTGCCCCTTCTCTACCCTTGTAAGGCAATTTCAGGGGTTGCCATGGTATTTGCAAAGGGGTGTGATTTACTAATGGTGGGTGTGATTTTTACTATGTCAAATGTCAGTAGGTCATTTAGGGACACTGTTACCTCAGCTATGGGCATGCTCCTGATACAGGGTCCCCACTTCCTCTCCCAGGAAGCATATGCATATGAGCCTGTTAAGTAGAGATGAGGAGGGAGGGGAACAGGTGCTGTGTCTAGGGGTGTCCATGACAAACAGATGATGCTACAAGATGCTTCGTCTACTAGGAGGAACAAATTGGTGGGCGGGGTTGCCCGCTCTCTACCTAGCCCACCAAGCCTGTGCCTCAACTGCCCACCGCCTTGCCCTCAGCACCCCCAGAGACCATAATGGGCATGGGGGACTGGCTCACTCTGGGCAGCCTCCTCACCCTAGCTGGAAGGCCAACTGATGGGCAAGGGGAACCCCATCGAGTGTGACAAGTTCTTCTATGCCGAGACCCCACCTGTGGGGCTGGCAGCTGATTCCCACGTGAAGATGTGTCAGCGTCCTGTTACAAGACTCCCATTCGAAGCTGAGCAGAGACCACCCCCCCCCCCATTTCCTAGGCCTGGGAAATGTCATGTAAGTTTCCTAGGCCTGGGCAATTTCAAGAAGGGAATGGCTCATTCACCTGCCCCAACAGAAAGGACTATATCCATTTATTTGTTACCAAGTCCTGGCCAAATGTAACTACAAAGGACCCACGCCACTGTATATACCCCTAGACAAAGGACCCAGGTGGGGATAGTTTCCCATTGGGGTCTTTCCCTCTGCCAGAGCTCTGGTGCTTTTTTATTCCTTTTATATTCTTTTCTGGCTATTAAATTCTATATTTCCACTGATCTATGGTCTGTGGGTTCATTTTTCATATCCTGAGATCAATGACTTAGTGAAGAAAGAAATTCTGGTAACACCCGAAAGACCCCCTATCCAGGCCTTGACAATATCTCTACTTGGTGATTTCCCTGCCTCTGACTGATTGGTCAGTCCTTGGACACCCTTTGCTGTGGACTAACCACTGTCACGTGGTCAGTTCTTAGGGACCCCCTTGACATGTCATCTGTTCTCTCTTGGGAGAGCTCCTCCCCGCACCCCCACCAATTTGTTCCTCCTGGTAGACAAAGCATCTCGTAGCATCATCTGTTTGTCATGGACACCCCTAGACACAGCACCCATTCCCTGTCCTCCTCACCTCTACTTAACAGGCTCATATACATATGTGCCCATATATGTATGTGTGTGGTACATAGATATGCATATACGTATATATGTATATTTGGCATAGCCTAGTAGTGAGCACCTTCATTTTATGCCCTGAGATTCTCCAGACACCAGACATCAACCAGGAGCTCTAACAGTGGTTCTCAACCTTCCTAATGCTGCACCCTTTCATACAGTTCCTCATGTTGTAGCAACCCCCAACCATACATTTATTTTCTGAGGTGGCCCATCTTGATTATCCTTGACCAACACCTCAGGGGCCCTTCACATACTGCACATCCAATTCTGCAGAAAATCCTGTCTCAACCATCGAAATATGTCCAGCACCACCACTTCTCACCATCTCCACCACAGCTACCACCCTGCTCTAAGATCACATCATCCCTCTGCCTAGCTTATGGTATTTAGCTACAAACTCCAGAGCTACCCCTGTTTCTCTAAAATGTTCCCCTCAAAACAGCAGCTGTTTTCAGGCATAAGTTAAATCGGTTAACTCCTCTACCCCAAACCCTCCTCTGAGCTTGCTATCCCATTCAGGGTGTGAGCCAAAGTCTTCTTAGTGGCTTACAAGACAGGAATTGGCTCCCTGCCATCTCAGACCATGCCCCATGTCGTCCTCTTCACCCCCCGCCTCCCATGGTGGTGGCTCCATCTCTGTGCTGCATTTACCTTCCTGCCTCAGCCCAGATAGCTCTTCCCTCTGCATGAAATGCTCATCTGCTACGGACCAATAAGCTCACACCTCACATCATTTATATCCATGTATGACATGCATCAAAGGTTTTTAATCTGACCACATTTTATAAAACAACACACATCCTAGATCTACCAAAGTCTCCTTACCTTTTGTTAAAGAAAAATGACACTGGACTAATTGAGCAAACAGAAGCTGGTTTTATCCCACTGTTATTGCCAACTATAGGGGGGACAGCACAGACTAGGTTGGGAAACTAAGCTCTGCAAACAAAAGGTGGAAAAATTATGGAGACCTGGGATGGGGGCTCTTAGGCCACCTGTGTTTGTTAATTGGCTTTACCCAAAGGAAAATAAACTTTCACAATTCTCATGGCAGGCAGTAGTTTTACAACTTGCAGCAAGGCTCCCACATTGAGGTTAGACCCCTGCCTTCTTGCAGAGATTGGCAGAGAGGGAAGCTGTCTTCCATGATGATTGCATTTCACAGAGATAGCTCTCAGGACCTTGAGAGAGGCAATCCTGCGTGGTGAAACTGGAGAGAGACACTTAAGAAGATTTATATCTCAAAGAGGCAGATAAAGAATTTATAGATCAAATAAGTTTTCAGAAGTAATTGCTTTGAGAAAAAGGAGGTTGGACCTAGAGTCAGGAAAAAGTCTGTGAAAGTCCATCAAGCCAAGAGCAACACCAAGGTCATCCTGGCACATTATACCCGCCCTACCCACTGTATCTTTCCTGCCTCCTCTCTCGTCTCACTAACGCCTGGGAGAGCAGAATTTGTTCCACTGTGTTTACTGCTCTATCAAACCACCTAGAAGACTGCTTGGCATGTAGTAATTGCCTAGAACACTCCAGAATAAGTACCTAGAACACTTCAGAATGTTTCAAATTTTACTAATGGAATTAAATGATTCTGTTATGCATTGTTTTCATTGGCCTTATTAAGGGCACCACACAATTTTTTCAGCTTTTTTGCTGCACAATTATTTTGAGATGATATTTTCTGGGAACAACTTAAAACATCTTTCCTGGGTCATGGTTCAGAGACCTTTATTTTTGGTGCTTGTATGTAACAGGTGTGTAAATGCACTGTATATCTGTGTGTGTACATATACACAGGTAATAGTTCAATGTGTATACCATATACACAAAGTCGATTAGATTTATATCTGGATATATATATCATCAGCTATGTATATTCACATGTATTAGATTACTTTCATTCCCAAGCACATTCAACAGGGCCTCAGTAAAATATAGGTACAAATTTTATACTTACTCATATATATTCATGACCTTTTTTTATCCTCTATCCTTCTAGGTTGGCTTTTTAGTATCTGGAAGATGCTAATGAGAATTTTCAAAATGTTTAGCAACCTAAGGTTAGAGCCACGGAAATCTTCCTCTGAAGCCCAAAGCACATTAGAGTGATGGGACTCCAGTGGGCTCCTGGACAGGACCAGGTCCTTGGGGCAATGCCGGCCACTGTGGCATATAGCCAGTGCCCACAGAGAAGACCCTGTTAGTCCAGAAGATGATGCCACAGGTCATCTCCAACACCAAACATAAAACTGAGAAGAAGTGGCAGCTGATAAAGGATAATTGAGACAAAATGAAGTCTGAACTGAGATCTGTCTGTACACCTGTCCTCATCCTGGAATTGCTAAGTAGGTATTTAATAGACAGTTTCCTGATCCGGAAAGATCTTCAAGCTGAAAGTGAAGGGAGATGATTTCCATTGACTTCTTCAAGTGTCACGTGGCAAAGACAGTAAACATCTCCTAGATAATTCCTCAGCAGCTTGCTTACCAAGAGGCACCCGGTATCAGTAAGAAAGAGATGCAACCCTCATCAAACAAGTTGATGTGGCCGTCGGAGAAGTGGACACACTGAATAAAGACAATGCACTCATTGTGCAGGGCTTAGAGACCCCCAACATTGTGGAGGCCAGACTGTGCAGAAGAAGAAGATATCTCAGAGGGACAGAAAAATAAATGCATCCAGGGGATGTCCTTCTTCTCCTCAAGGAACCTTTAAATACATCTCTATCCTTATCCTTTAGCATTTCCTATAACAGAAATCCATTTATCTGCATGGAATCAACTGTTTACAGTCTGTTCCCACTGCAGCTTGAGAAACCCCATTTCTGAATCTGTGTTTGTCTCAGGCTGTCTGGTTTCCAGTCACGGCTGCAGAAGCCTATTAACAGCCTCATTTCACATAAACACCAGTAACTTCCTAACACTTACACAGAAGACTAAAAATCGTTTGGCATGTAAATAATCTGAACCAGCTCTGGGAGTGACTGTGTTTTGTATTACTTTAAAGATATGGAAATATAGTTTCTTGCCATTGCAGTGTGTTCTACACAACTGCTGAATTTCTACACTCCCCTCTCCTGCTCTTTCTCAGGGGTTTCCTTTCAGTAGGCAACTCTTCCACATCTTAATATATTCTTTTGTAGTAGGAAACCAGAATTATTAGAATGAATGGGAAGGCCTTTGCCACGTCTAGGTTGGAGATCACAAATTGAAATGGCCCCTGTGTGATGTATGTTATGGAGGTCGCGGACATCTGTGAAAACAGCAGAGTTTTCTAATCTCCTCCTTATTTGCCACTGGTTAAGCTCACAGCTAACCTCCTGCCTTTGTAGCTCTGGTATCCACTTTACTATGTAATAGCTGTAATGGGGTTGCTGCCAGAAATACAGGCGTTGCTTTTGGCAGACGAAAGTGCATATCATTTTCTAATCTACTAGAAATGGAAAAGGAATTAAAACACAGCAGCCCAAGTCTAAATCTTGAGCACTTTTATGGGCTGATGCGTGCGTAGGTGAGAAGGGAGCCAATTTGCCTCATGAAGGCTACTGAGAAAGGGGGGGACCACCATTGTGTGTTGGTGATCACTGACTGTAGGCCAAAAACGGCCTTGAGAGAGGTTATGCCCTATATAACAGCAGAATAATATAAAATAAAACTCACATTAGAATACCTTGACTCTGTCTTCATAACAATTGTACATCCAGAATTTTTTTGGCATTGTTGTCTCAGTGTTAGTAACAAATGCTGGTGTTAGACCACTTAGATTCAGTCCCAACAAGAATATACCATTGACATGCCTGCCTGTATTTTAATAAACAGGTGTATTTACTACTTT